CACCCCACTGTCACTGTCGTCCCCATGCTGCCCACCAAACAAGGGGAAGATGACACCGCTCCTTCCCAGCCTTCCCCCCATACACATATGCTCCTCTTCAGCCCCAGACAGCCCTCTCAAAAGCCCTGTAGTGGGGTAGAGGACACCATCTAATCACTTTCTCACCTGCCCCCCACTCACCACCTCATCCCCAGATCCCTCAGAGTGTCAGCCCCAAGGCTGAGATGGCTCCTGTGCCCCCTGGAAGGACCAGCCCTGGTAGTTCTTGAAGGCTGCAGCCACGTTCTCTGCAGCCCGTCTCCTTCCTCGCTGCCCCTCTCCATTCCTCCTCTTCGCCTAGCCCTACTCCAGCCCCTGACCTTTCCCACCCATCTCACCACACTGCCCTTGGAGGATCCTCCGCCTTCCCTCACTCCCTCTCCAAATCTCTAGGCCCCTAGGACCCAAGCTGTAGGGCCCCTGTCACCTTCTCTCCCTCCTGCTTCCTGACCTGAGTCTTGGGCTCAGGCCAGCCTCTCAGTCCTCCCAGGCAGCCTGCTCACTGGCTCCTGTCCCTCACCCATGCAGCTTACCTCGATCACTAATGTGCCCCCCGACCCTTCTCTCACCTGCCTGTACCCTCTCCCTGGGCAATAACTTCAGCCTTGTGCCTTCAGTTGCTGTCCATGGTTAATGTCCTCCTTGGTTAAAATCCTCCAACTGGGCGCCAGAGTCCTGATGACTCTCCTCCCACCCTCGCTCCTCAGCTTCAGACCCACGTGCCTGGTTCCCACAAGACGCCTCCACCCAGCAGTCCTAGACACACTTCGAGCTCAACAGACCTTCCAGCCTAACTCACCACCTCCCATCCTCTCAGCCAGAGTCTCCTCCTACCTCCCCATCAAGATCAACACAGCTGCCCAAGCCAGAACCGATCAGCTATCCTTGCTTTTCCCCCTCAAAATTAATTAACCCTCAAGTGCTTTTCTTTCCTACTCACTACCTCTCTAATCCACCTCTTTCCTCCCTCCCTACTGCTACCACCCATGTCCCGGCCACCATCTCGCCTGCAGTTCCGCTCTTCTCCCCTCCCAATCCCCACTACACGGCAGCCAGAGAGACATTCAGAAAACACAAGTCTGACCTTTCACTGGGTCCCCACTGCCCTCAGGATAAAGACACATAAGTCCTACATGTCTGCTCTGACTAATCTCTCAGGACCCCTCACGGCTCCTCATTCCCCACTAACCCCATCTTTCTCCCATACCCTGGCTCAAAATGCCCTGAACGCCTGTCAGGAGAGGGCTTGAATCAGAGGCTCTCCAGGGGCCTTTTCAGTTGCGACCTTCTTGGGAAGAGACTCTGAACTCTGCTCGGGGATTTTAACACTCCCTTCCCAGGCTTAAGGAGAATACCATGAGGACTGCCAGCCTTGGGATGTCATTGAGGGGCCACTTGGGAGAACCTAGGGAGGCTCCATGCCTCTGGAGGTGACGCACCTTTCTTCCACCCTACCAGTTCAAGGGACCAGGCAAGACTGATGTTATGAACTCTCCATCTGTTAGAGCTTCTGAACCTCTGAGCCCCATCTCCTCCGCCACCACTCCACTTCTCTTTCAAGGAGACAGGTGGCTGCACAGAGCCCTGGGCCATGGTGCTGGGGAGAAAGAGAAGCATAGCTGAAGGATTATTAACCAGGAAATACCAGTTATTTCCCGAAAGAAGTAATATTGAAGCTGAGACCTCAGTGAAGACCAGGAGCCCATTTATTCAATCAACAAATAGTTATTGAGCACCTGCTATGTACCAGGTACTGTTACACAAGCTTGGGTTCATATAAGCCAAGAAAGTAGTCAAAGATGTTTGTCCCCTGTGAAGCTTACATTTCACGGCAAAAAGTTAACCTAAGTAAGGAGTTAGCCAGGATGCAGAGATCTGTTCCAGACACGGGGAATAGCATATGAAAAGGTGGGGCTAGAGAAAGAGCATGGCAACATCCAGGAACTCTAGTGAGTTCAGTTCTTGTGGGGAGGAGTTGGGGACTGCTCTCCAGTGCCTTCTAGAAACTTAAAATATGCCCTTTATTTCTACATTCTCCTCTACTGCCCCCTCCTACCCCAACTCCACTCCACCCCATAAAAGTTTTCTTCATCCAAGGACATTTCTCATCCCTACTTCCAGGCAATTTTCTCATTATCTTCCAGAGGTAGGTGTATGAGCCAATTAACAAGGCCTTCCATGCTTCACAGAGAGCCAATTGCCTCCTCTCTGGAAGTTTCCTACTGGCTGCTGAGGAATGTGAGCCATCTGCATATCAGATCCCTCTGTGCAGGGAAGCCTGAGATAAGGCCAGCCATGGTAGTGTCAATGCCCAGAGTCACAGTCCCTCAGCATCCACCCTATTCTGCATTCAGTGAGCTGGTGGTATCAACCATCATTTATCCTGTGGTTAAACTAACTGAGGTTCCAAAAGGTGAAGGGGCTTGACCACACTCTCTTGGTGGCAAAGTTAGGACAAGAGCCTAAGACCCCAGACTTCCATCCCGTAGTCTTTTTCTACCACTCACTCTGCCTCCTGCTATTCAGAGGCTGAGTGCTGTACTGTCATGATATCACAGTGATAGCAATTACAACAACAAATACCAATTTTTGAGTATCTATTACATGCCATGCTATATTCCAAACTTTTATTTGTACCTTCCCATTTAATCCTCCTGTGGTAGCTATCTTTAGAAATGACCGCCTCAGCAACCCTTGAATCTGGGCTGGCCCCATGACTGCTTTTACCAATAGAATGTGGTGGATCTTCTGTCCCCAGGCCTTAAGAGGACTGGCAGCACATGGAGGAGAACAGAGCCCCTGGCTGTCAGCCCCCACCCCAGCTGAGCTCTCAACCAGTGGCCAGCACCAAGCGCCAGCCAGATGAGTGGAGCCATTTTGGACCTTCCAGTCATCCCAGAGCCCTAGCCAACAACGTGAAGCAGAAGAGTCACCCAGTCAATCTACACAGTCATAAAAAATGTTGTTTTAAGCCACTAAATTTGGGGATATTTTGTTACATAGCAGTATGGAAGAAGTTAGTACCTGGTAGTGGGGTGCTGCTATAACAAAACCTGAAACCTGTAATATTGGCTTTGGGAGCAGGTGTCAGGCAGAGCCTGAATGCCCTCAAGGAGACACATGAAGTCTAATGGATGGTAAGGAAATTATCATTAGATGCTGATGAAAAGGTCTAGGGATAGGGGCTGCTTCTTATAACTGCAACTCCTGTATTCTTTAGCGTTCTTGCTTTTTGCTACCCAATCCATCATTCCTCCAATCCTCTGTTGTAGTTAATAACTTTTTATATTAAACTTTCTCTGTTCAAATTATTGTCTTCTGATTGGACAATGACTGATACACAACCCTTGGCCAACAACCCCAGCTGAGCTCCCAGCTGGTGGCCAGCACCAAATCTAGCCAGCCATGGGAGTGAGGACATTTTAACATCCTAGCACCACGGACAACATCATGAAAAGGAGAACTGCCCAGTAAGCCCACAGAATCTTGAGAAATGATAAAGTATGTTTTAAGTCTCTCCATTTGGAGTGATTTGTTATGTGCAATAGATATTTAAAACACCTCCCTACGACCCAGCAGGTATCAGTATCCCATGTTACACATGAAGAAGCTAAGGCTCGGCACGTATTAGTGACTTGCCCACAGTTACAACGGAACTGGTAAACAGCTGAACCAGCATGCAGACATAGGTCTTTACTGTATTAACAAAGCCCTTTCAAACATAATCCTTCTTAGGGAGCTAGAAGGATCTTAGGAATACTGTCCAACCTCCCTCATTCTACAGACAGGAAACTTAAGCTCCAAGGGTGGACCATACATGTGGCCCACAGCACTTAGGACCCTGAGTTAGAAGCCCGGTTCTCTGCACCGTCAGCCCGGTGCTCTTCCTCTGCCCCACTCTGCTTCTCTCACACACCTCTCTTCCATTCCACCCCACCCATTTCCTCCTGCACTGTGCCCCTGGGGGGAGGGGAGATCACCATAGTTGAGAACTCCTAGGAGACATTTCGCCAGGTCTAGAGACATCTTTGATTGTCACAATTGGGGGTGGGGGAGTACTAGTGGACAGAGGCCAGGGATGCTGCTAAACTTCCTACAAAAGGCTCAGGACAGCCCCACAACAAGACTTATCCAGTCCCAAACTGTCAATCATGTTGAGGTTGAGAAAGCTTGGTCTAGAGAAACCCATGACCCCACAGGATTCCCTCCTTCCTTGAGTCTTCCCTTGCTTTCCCCAAGGCCTGGGCTGCTCAAGGACAGGTGGACAGCATCCACTGCAGTCATTTCCACCCACTAGAAAACAGCGAGGTGCATGGAGAGTTCCCGAGGGCTTCTCTGGCAGGGAGCACCTTGCAAGGACAGCCCTGGAGTTTTCAGGACTCTGAAGCACCAAGTTTGATTCGCTACAATTAGTTTATTGGAGACACAGAGTGAAACAAAGACAAACGTGCAGGCAGTTGGGTCATTGGCTTTTTAGAAGCTTCTGCAGGCAGCCCTGGAAGGGAAGTGCTCTCCCCTTCGGGTCTCTCCCTCACAGAGTTCCACGGAGACGACCATCAACGTTCCTGTCTCCATTCCGCAGGCACGTAGGCAGATTCCCAGAGAGTACAGACAGAGATACAGAGATTCTGGGGCCTGCCCTGCTCCTCCAACCTTGGGGAAAGGAGACAGGCAGGACCAATGAATCCAGCAAAAAATAGAAGGCGGCAGAGAAGGATGGATCCTCAGGGCAACAAATTAACTACTAGGAAAGACTACAGAAGGGGATCAGGGCGCTTGGGGCGCCTGGGGGACGGCGCCCAGAGGGAAGCAAGCAGGGAGGGCTTGCAGAGTGTTCACATGTGGGACCGGTTTTGGGGAGGCCGACGGCGGGCGGTGCGTTCCCGTTGCATGAGGTCCTGGCTGGGCGGAGGGTGACGGTGACGGTGACGGTGACGGTAGCTTGCAAAGGCAGCAGCTTCCTAGCACCTCTTGCAGCCGCCGCCGCAGGCGTTGGTGCCCACCACCACGTTGCCGCTGCAGGGGGCGCTGCAGACTGTGGTGGACACAGCAGGGGCAGCACCGGAGGCGCAGAGATCTCCACAGACGACGCCACCGCGGGAGCTGCTGACGCCTGTGCGGGGAGAGCAAGTGAAGACGCGCGTCAGGCACAGCCACAGCCACAGCCCAATGCCCCCTCCCCAAAGGGGCTTGGACCACCCCAGCCGGTGAAGGGGGAGGGCTGGGACTACTTACAGACATTCACGGAGCCAAGACCCTCACACAGCCTGTAGGAAGAGGAAAGAGGAGAGGTCAGTGTCGCGGAAAAGGCAGCAGGAGCAAGGTGGAAGGCAAGATCCGTGGCCCTCCTTCTGGGCATTCGCCAAGGGGAAGGTGCAGGACACGGGCTAGTCAGGAGCCAGGGAGCCCCTGATCGCCGTGTGCATTCTGGAGAGAGAAGGCCTGTGCAAGAGCCACACTCCATTGCTGCTTAGCTGTGCAACGATTCAACCTCCCTCAGCCTAGGTCTCCTCATCTGGAAAACCTACTTCCTAGATCTGTTATGAGGATTAAATCAATTAATACACGTGAAATGCTTAGTGCCTGGCACAAAGTGAGCACTTAAGAACTATTAGCAGCATTACTTCTATATTGGTTCTGATTGAACTGTAAATGCAATTAAGGGGAACAGATTTAACTTCCTAAATCCAGTCTGATTGATGTCATAAGAATGCAGGCTTCAGGAGGGTGGAATTTTCTGTCTATTGTTTTTCTCACTGCAGAATCTACACTGCCTTAAAGCAATGCCTGGCTCAATAAATAACTGTTGAATGAATGAATGGGGTTTTAGAACCCATTTAAAACAGGCTCAGAGACTATCTAAAACAATTCTCTCATTTGACAGATGGAGAAACTGAGGCCCAGCGAGAAGAAATGACGACAGAAGCTGGGCTATAACTCAGGCCACCTAACTTCACCCAGCTGGCATTTCCTTCCCACACAACGTTGTCTCCCTAAGGGAATCAGACGGAATTCCCCTGAAGCCACAGTGGCCAATGGTTGGTGGAATCAGCTTCAGACAAGAGGAGGATCCGCAGCCCAATATCAAATCCTCCCACGCCCAGGTTTCCTAGGAACCACACCTAAATCTTCTGAATTCAATCCAAGAGCCTTATGCAGTAAAGAGATGGACCTCTCAGTTTCCAGTGCCATCTCCATGTGTCTCTCCAAATTCTAAATGCAGACTGGAAAAACTCCTCTTCCCAAATTCTTCATTTATGAAACTCCCCAGGCGCAGCCAGACCCAGTGCCTCTGAGCTCTCCAGTGCAAGTACTTGAGTTTGCTGGGAGGCTCCCCATGTGATCACTTTGACTTCCAGGTACCAGACCTGCCTTCTCATCTCCCCAGTACACAGGATGCTGCCTCCGCATCCTCACCCTCCACACTCCTCTCCCCAGAGCCAAGGGCCTGACTGTGCACAAGAAGACAAGATGCTCAGGTGCCTGTGCCTGTCTGTGTGTCTCGGCCCTCACACTGGGATCTCAGGCAGACACAGGTCCTTCCCCTGACCAGTCAAGGGGAAGAAACCAGAGCAAAGAATGGGCTCGCATTCTGGGAATGCTGTCCTTACAGGGGCAGGAGCTGTAGATCTGCCCTCCAGCCCTAGGAAGGCTTCTTGACTAATGGGTCGTCTCCCCTCCCACCTCCGAAGCAAGCAAACAAATGAAAATCCTGAGAGCAAGGCATACCTGCCACAAGGGACAAGTTCCTACTTTCTGTCTAACTCAGTCCCATATGCTGCAACGGAAGACCACTTTGACATACTCGTTGTAATTACAATAGATAAGTGTGAATTAATGGAACCCTCAATCTGAAGCCATCATTATAGGTGACAGGACCAGGGCCAGGGCCAGAGCCAGGCTAGGGAAGAGAGCTGGAATCCTGAGTGGCACATGCAACTAGGGGTGGGAAGGAGGAGGCACTCTCCAGGGAAGATGACCTAAGCCTGAGCTGGGCTTCTTAGGAACAGGGATTACTGCTGCCAGACTCCTGGCTCTAAAGACAGATTTTCAAAAGGCTCCAATCCAGACCAGTGCCTGGTGGGCACGAGAGACTCAGATTGGGCTAGATCATACACAAAGGACTTATGCAAGTTACCTGTCCAGTTGCAGGATGGGGAGGTTTGAAAACAGAAGTGGAGTGGTGCCAAGAGTGTGAGGAGCAGAGTACACTGAAAACCCAGGCAGGGCTCGGAAACTAAAAGGGCTATGGGACCCACCTCTGCTCTTCGCCCTCCAGCAGGCGTCTGTAGGTGGCGATCTCGATGTCCAGGCCCAGCTTGGAGTTCATCACCTCCTGGTACTCCTTGAGCAGGCAGGCCATGTCCTGCTTGGCCTTCTGCAGGGCACCTTCCAGTTCAGCCAGCTTGCAGCGGGCGTCGCTGAGGGCCGACTCACCCTGCTGCTCCGACTCAGTCACAGCAGCCTCCAGCTTGGAGTTCTGGGGACCCAGAAGAGAATAAGGTGGGTTATGGCCACTGGGTCTCTGTACATTACCTGGATGTGTCTGGTCTCACCACCCAGCTGGAAACACCCCAAACACAGAGCCTCTTGCCTTCATCACCTGTGTCTCCCTGAGTGACCATGACTAGGGACCCTACAGGTGCAAATGGGTTAGAGATGAATGGTGAGATCCAGATAGGGCACTCACATGCTATGTGACACTGGATTGGCCTCTCTGGTTTGGGCACACATAATGCATACCTGGCACTTGGCGTTCTCCACCTCAGCCGTCAACCTCTGGATCATGCGGTTCAGCTCATTGATCTCCTCCTTGGTGCGGCGCAGGG